CATGAATCAAATATGTATCTTTATTCATTTACAATAAACTCATAAAGTACATCATTCTGATTGAAGCTAAGGGCATACAAAACTGTCTAACAAAGCTAAGGTTGGGGCAGCTGGGGGAACTGTTGCTAATACTGATACTGGGAGACTTGGTGCAGTACGTGTTGTTGATAGAGTTGAAGTTGTTGGAACTGTTGCATTTGAGCCTGCATGGCCCTCATGCATTGCACCAGGTCCTCCAGCTGGTTCGGGTTGGCCGTTGGGGGCACGATCGAAGATTCGGTGAATGTCGTTCCGACTGTAGCAAGGAGTGGGGCGATGACAGGTGCCATTGTGAGAGGCACGTTCAAGCTGGGGATTCCGTTCGCTGAGAGGGGGACGGTGAACTGTCCAATACAGACAGTAGGAAGCTGGGGTTGTTCCTTGGAGTTGTCCATTTCCTTGCTTCGTCCGACGTTGCTAGAAGAAGCCATGAGCACTGGATTGTTTCAAAGAAGAAGAAGGAACTGATAGAGTTTGGAGGGAAAGGCCTTTTTGAAGCGTTTCCCACAGACGGCGCCAAATGATGTAGCACAATCCGGTCACTCCTAGTTGGCGCTCGCGTGGCTCCTGAGATGTACCTGAAACGAGAAGAAGGAGGAAGAACTCCCGTGGGGTTTCTTGGCGGGAACGCTCCGATGCTTAAGTTAGTACTATGTGCAAGAAGCTAAAGGAGAGTGAACACTAAGAGTGCAGGTTGCGCTAGCTATTCCCGATGCCCTGTTCCTTGAGGATAAGTTCCTTATAGCTGAATTCCGTTGCTCTAGGCCCTCTGACTTCTGACAGGGCAGGTATAACCGCCACTGTCAGTCTGTCACAGCCGTTACAGGTAGGGCTGAGGTGGCATGCGTGGGGCCATCATGCAGGATACGTGTCTGTCAGGTGTGGGACGCCTTTCTAAAGGTGGTAGGCGCGACGAGGGGACATGCCTGCAATTCGCAGGTTTGTTGGGTACGGTGGTCGGGTAGGAAGCCCTCCTACGGTATACCGAGCTATTCTCCTACGAATCGCCCTGAGTTGGACCGTCCCTTGAGTGACGGGCTGCCTGCAGCCGGTTATGTCGAGCCAGCCGACCCGAGGTCTTTGTGCCTCGGGGCGTCCGAAGAAGAATCGGTGCGTTCTTGCTTGGGAGTGGCCCAAGGTCCATTGGGAGGAGCTCGGGTCTCAAAAGGGGTTGGGGTGCCCCGAACTCGGGACCCCCCGAAGTGCTTTAACCCCGGGAGGAGGTGCAGGCGAGGCGACTTTCGGCGAGTAGTTTACCTGCCTAGTTGCCGTGCTGAACTTGGTGGGACCTCCCACCGAGTTGTGCTCACGTCCGTTGTGCTGTCATGCTGAGTCACTGTTTGAGCTAGGTCACGCCTACGTGTACCTGAGCTACGAAGTCGGGCCAAATCTCCCTCCATCAGATGTCATGTCATCTTAAAAAAAAGAAAATGGAACCAGTCGATAATCAGGAAATCACCGAAAATGGTGATCCTTGAAAAAGGGCTGGTTTCAAAAATTGATATTTGGTTGATTTCTTGAAAATCACCAAAATCAGCCAACCAAACAGAAATTTCAGTGCAACCAATTAGATCTATTCACGGGCTGGCCCGAGCTTTGCCTCTATATCAACATAATACATTTAGGCCTAAGCCCAAGCCCAACCCGACCATTGGGCCTAGATCTTGAGCTTAAGTCCAACTCTCATATAAAGCCTGAAACTTGGCTAGGAAATTGGGATAAAAGATTCTCTCTTTTTTTTTCTCAATAATAAAACTAATTTATTTATATTATAAAGACCTCAAAACCCAAAAATAATGAAAAATCTCACTACGATTTAAAAAAAGAGAAAAGAAATAAAGAAACCAACTTATTATATATTTTTATAATATAAAATATATTTTGTTATATAATATATTAATAGGCCGGTTTAGGCTTAAATCAATCTGTTTTTGAGAAATTCCAAACCCAACCCGAAATGTCGGGCCTGATGTTTTTGGCCCGAACTCAAACTCATGCGTTAAATTCATGTCCAAACTCAACTAAAAATGGATCAGACAGGACTGATCCATCGGACTAACCGGCCCATAAACAGGTATATTACTGATTACACCAAATAAATGGTCTTTATTATGTGCTATAAATAGAATGTTATTTTAATGATGTTTACCGGATAATGTCATAGTTGCCTTGGCCTTACGTCAGAGCTAACAGCAATTCCAAATCTGATCGTTGCACGTGCAACGTACGTACGTACACGTGGCAGCGAACGAATAATAAATGAGGGGAGACGCCAAGTAGGTGAAGTGGAGTTACAACGTATAAATACAATAATGGTTACATTACATGAACATGATATGCCCGGACCCGGTTTATGTGTCGGAGGTCCTAAACTCATATTCGTCTCATTCTATATATCTCTCTCATCCCCTGCCCAACAAACCAACAACCGACCGTGTACTCAAATTATATATAGAAATGGGTTTAGGACGATAATACCCTTCTTTAAAATAGATTCCTTGGTATTGAATTTGAAGAGGGGAGGGGAGAGAGAAAAGGAATGAACCGAATGACTGATGGAGGAAAGACGAGGAGGGGAGAGGGAGAGAGAGAGGGAGAAGGAGAACTCCATTGATTGAATACAATAAAAAATAATAAGAGAAGAAGAGAGATAGGGACAGGTGAGTGTGGAAAGTGGAAAGAAAGAAAGAAAGAAAAAAAAAAAAAAAAGAAAGGGGGGAGAAGAGAGAGAGAGAGGGCCGTTTCCCCTCCGAGGCTCCCTAAGCCCCATCATTAGTAGATCTCTCTCTCTCTCTCTCCTTTCTTTTCATACACAAAACACAGACTCACAAACAAGACGGGATAGACAGGGAGAGAGGGGAAAACCGGAAAAGCAGGAGAGCCAATTCTCAATTTTTCTTTCTCTTTCTTTCTCTCTGTCTGTCTTCGCTCCCTTTTCTGTTTCTCCTCCTCCCAACCAGGGCCTCAACAACCAAGGAACAAGGAGCAAAATTTTGAAAGGAAAAAAAAAGGAACAGTCATGGGCTGCTGTGAATCCTCTCTCCTTACCGAAGCTGACCCGGATAAAGAGAAAAAGCAGAATCAGCACAACCAAAACCCGCCCTTCAACCACCCTCCTCCCTCCGCCGACGATGGTCCTGCAGGAGCTGCCGCTGGTGGCGTTCCTCCTTTCTCGGAGTTCTCTCTTTCCGACCTTAGAGCCGCCACCAATAACTTCAGCTCCGACAACATCGTCTCAGAGAGCGGCGAAAAGGCCCCTAATCTCGTCTACAAGGGTCGCCTCCAGAATCGACAATGGATCGCTGTCAAGAAATTCACCAAGACGGCCTGGCCCGATCCCAAGCAGTTTGCTGTATAAGCCCGCCTCCTCCATTTTTTTCCCTCTTTCCTCATTTTATTTTTTGTCCTTAATTCTCTTTTTCTTTCTTTATTTCGATTTTATAGATATGCTTTTTAATGATGTGCTGATTATTGCTGTTTCTTTTTTGGTTTTTAGGATGAAGCATTGGGTGTGGGAAAGTTGCGGCATCAAAGGATTGCAAATTTGATCGGTTACTGCTGCGACGGTGATGAGAGGCTGCTTGTTGCAGAGTATATGCCCAACGATACCCTCGCTAAGCATCTATTCCACTGTATGTGCGCCTCCCTTTTGTTCTAATCTTACTTCTTCATATATCTGGTTGCAAAATTTGAACTATTCTTGGGGCATTATGAAATTCTTTGATTATTTCAAGCTGGCTAAAATTATGGAGTCAAATACAAACCACTTGTTTGGAAGATATTCGTGACTTTCGCAATCAATTGCTTGATCTTAATGGGTAACTTTCTGGGCACCTGATTGAGATTCATCTCGTTGTGGTGGCGTAGTAAAGTGGGTCTGTGGGAACATGAATAAATGGCTAAAGTCCCTAGCAGCATTCCTGGGGTATTGCATTTGTAGCTTTTGTTGGATTAAATTTTCATTGGGTATTCCTTGTCTGAGTCTAATAAGTTGGTAATATTATTTGATACGAGTTGTCAGACGAGATCAAATTGAATGGTCCAACTAATGCAATTATTTTATCCTCATTTCAATAGCTTTTGCATTTATGGTCAATCGCCTCATATTTCCTTGCGTTTCTTTTCTGTAAGTCCTAACTGATGATTATGAATTTAGTTTATTGGCTTTAGTTGTAAGAGGTATTAATTAACTCATCTTAGTTCAACTTGAGATTTTCCCTCCCCATCTCAGGTTAGCTACATAAGTTTTAGTCCTCCCTTTCAGCTGAGTGTATATAGCTCTAATAAATCTGTATGCCAATTCTCCTGCTTCCTTTGTACGAATAGATGTAAAACCTAGATGCTAATTCTTCTTTTTCACAGGGGAAAATCAAACCATTGAGTGGGCCATGCGCTTAAGAGTTGCTTTATATATTGCTGAAGCTTTAGAATATTGCAGTACTGAAGGCCGGCCTCTGTATCATGACTTGAATGCTTATAGAGTCCTCTTTGATGAGGTGTTATTATTCATCTCTTTTCTCAATTTCAATATTTATTTTTTTTCAGTGTTCTATTGTTATGTAATTCCAAAGAATAAAACTTATCTAACTTCTATATCATGCAATTATACAGATTTCTTCATTTCTTATGCAGTTCACCTTTGCATAGTACTATTCAAATGATGTAATGTGTCTTTAACTTCCAAATGGTTTGATGGTTCTATTTGCCCTTGTAGGATGGTGATCCTCGGCTTTCTTGTTTTGGACTTATGAAAAATAGCAGGGATGGGAAAAGTTATAGTACAAATCTTGCTTACACTCCTCCGGAGTACCTACGAAATGGTATCTTTTTATAATTACCTATGAAATGGTATCATTTCTCTTTTTTTCTTTTTTGTTTTTTGATGAGTGACTGATAGAATTTTTTAAGATTTAAAATAAGTACATGATCAAATCATCCACCCTATGGTGTAGTTAGCCTCGGAATGGTATCACTTACTCTTGGTCCTCAAATTTATGGTTTTGCTTGTTGTGCATCTACTCCTTGCTTGTTAACATCAATAACCCACATTAGATAAATCTTATTCAACTTTGAATAAGGAAAGATCATTCTACAATGATTACTGCTAGCCTAAGTATTGAATTTGTTCACACATTGTGGTTCATTCCTATAGAAAATGTCTCTTTAAGAGAAATCATTAGGGTTTAAAGGGTTTTGACATAAACATCCCAAACCCACAATAGCTGAAGCTTATTGCAATCTTTCATTTCTACTTTATGATTCTTTGAAGTTTGGGAATAAATACTGTTCTTCTTTTAGTCAGTAATGTATCTGGTATTCTGGTTACACTTTTTTATATATTTGAAAGAGAAAAAGGTTCAAGAGATGAGCCCATTTTTGTGCTTGTTATAGAAGAAAGCATGGTCTCTACATGATGATTGAAATTATGCATTGATACCCAAAATAAATTAGGTTCTCTATCCTCCTGATCAAAATAAGCTTGGGACACCATTTACTGATAAAAAATCCTGTTGTTTCCTTTCTTTCCGAAGACACCAATAGATCAAAAAGGGAGCAAGATACCATGATATACAACCTTACTGCAAAACCTTTTGCTGGATAAGAATCATCTAATGTTTATAAATCTGTTGGTATGATCTATTGGTGACCAAACAGCTTGTGAAAGTTTTGACCACACTTGATTTTTTTGGGGGATCAGCAACAGAAATTACTTTCATTAATTGAGAATTAAATCATTACATATGATGCTGGAAATTAATCCAGCAACCCATTCATTTTTTTTTGGGTAATACATTGGCTGAAGACAATGAATGAGTTCACAGATTTTTCAACAAATGATATGTTAAGAAATTGGAAAGAAGTTGCTAGCTCAATTTCAAGAAAGAAGACTTCGAATCTCAATTGGAACCCTCCTCCTGGTTTTATCAAACTAAATTTTGATGGTAGTAGTATGGGGAATCCAGGGCCTTTGGGTATTGGGGGGGGGGGGTATTAAGAGATGAGAGAGGTTAGCTTTGTTTTCTGGCCCAATTGGAGTGGGAGACTCCTTGAGGGCTGAGGTGTTAGCAGCCTTGAAAGGGGTTCAAAGGGCCAAAGAAATTAATGCTAAGAAACTGATTATTGAGGGAGATTCTGCGATTGTAGTGGACTGGTTGAAAGAAGACACTGCTAAGATGTGGAGCTACAACAATGAGAAGAGAAAGTTTAAATGGCTGATCAAGGATATGGAAGTCCAATGTACTTGGGTAAAAAGAAATGCTAATTCCTTTGCTGATGGATTAGCCAGACAAGGGGTTAATAGGGCTTCTGAGTTTTGAGCTCAGTTGTAGGTTTTTGTGTTTTTAAGTCGGTTGTATTCTCATGCCTAGGGAAGCTAAGAATTTTTAGCTCCCATTCTTTGTAACTTTATTCCCTTATTAATGAAATCTGTGGTTATTGATAAAAAAAAACAAAACAATTCTGCCCAAAAGAGTTCTTCCCTGTAAACCCTTTGCTTTGCTGGGACGTCAGCCAATCCATTTCCCATTCTTTTCACCCACCTGAAAGTAGCTTCCACCTATGTAGTCAATATTCTTCTCTCTTATAGTTTGCCTGAATATTCCAAGCACCCGGATTGGATTGTTGCAGCTCATTGAAGAAATAACTAGCTTTGAGTCTCCATCAACCTCCACCTTCTTCAATTCAAGCTGTTTGGCTAATTTCAGTCCTTGTAAGAGAGATGGGACCTCAGCTTTTAGTGAGTCTCCATGCTCAATCAGTTCCAAGTAAAATGCTACCACCACACCTTCATTTCTAACACTCCAATTCTTGACGGTCCAGACTTACCCACAGAGCTTCCATCAAAGTTCAGTTTTACACTGTTATTGTGTGAATTGTGAAGGGGATTTCCATTCAGAGACAACTACATGCCTTTTACAATTGTGGACTTGTCATTGTTTCCAATGATCTTAGTATACCATCTACTGAGAAAGATTTAAAGGCTTGTTTGCTTGAATGATCATTCTACTCAACACACCAGCCACCAAAGTGAACAAGAAAGAGGAGGGGGGAACCCCTTGTCTCAAACCTCTCTTTGCAGGGAAGAAATCTCTTGCCACTCCATTGACCAAAATGGAGTAATGACAAGAACTAATACATCCTTTAAGCCATTTACACCACTTGTTACTAAAAACAACTTTCTCTGAGATCTCAATAATAAACTTGTAGTCCACCAAATCATAGGCCTTTGCTAATCCAACTTGCAAAGTACTCTTTCTTCCCCTTTTTTTCATCTTATCATCTGTATTTTCATTAGCAATCAGGATTTGGTCCACAATTTGACAACAGTTGAATTAAGATGAGATGAAGAGTGTTTGATGAATTTAAAACTTATTTGGAATATACTAATACACATTTTTCTTACCATGCCTCAGATTTGTTCACCATATGTTTCCTTCTGGTAATTGTAAAAAGCTACCTCTATAGAAACATTTAGCCATTCATATGTTAGTTTTCACAAATTCATTTCTCTTTAACTGTATAATTGAAAATTTAGTCCTTTTGATTCAGAATAACGATGTCATGCCACCTACATAGAACATGATGTTGGTATACTGTACTGTAGCATCCAGTTGGGAAGAAAGTAACAAGCTGATTTCTTCACCTTGTTCTTGAATATTTTGCACGACAATCTATGGAGTGTGAACTGTTTTATCATTGTATTACAATAATGGCTATTCTTCTTTGGTTTTGACTACTAGTCCAGTCTTGGTTGATTTCAACTAATTCCATCTGAAACAATGATGATGTGTATATTTGTAGGGAGGGTCACTCCTGAAAGTGTTGTCTTCAGTTTTGGTACAGTCCTCTTGGATCTTCTTAGTGGAAAGCACATCCCTCCAAGTCATGTAAGCTCTTTTACTTCTATAGCCCATTCAGACTTTTTTATGGACAAGCTGAGATGGAAGTTCTAAACCAGTGGAATCATGATTAGAAAAAGGTAGCCTGAGGTGGTAAAAGAGATTTATGGACTTACATTTTGACAGAAAACATGGTTGTTGATAAAGCACAATGGCAGGACAGGGTTTGTGTAACTAACCCCAAATACATGGGATTAAGTCTGAGAAGAGTGGAGTTAATATGTACTTAAGTTGATATAGGAAGACTGTTTCTATGAATATCTTCCATTCCCCATATTTGTCACGATTGACAAGATCAACATAATTCATTAAAAAGTAGTAGGAGTTATTCCTTAACTTATTTGAATGTGTGGTGGGAAGGGAAATCATCACTAGATGCATTTATCAAAAACAGAAAAAAAAATCACTAGAGGTCGACCATACACAAGAAATAACAAAATAATACCAATCCAAAACAACCATTTTTCATTTGAATAAGTTCTTCATGCTGGATGCTGAAGATGGTGACAATATGCCTATGGACCATCTGAAGTGTGAGCATCCAACAAGAACTATTTGGATGCTTCATAGTGTTCTCTCTTTTTTGGGATTACCAGTAATATGTCCTCCATTGGTCTGGAGGACTATCTAACATGTATAAATCTGCTAATTTAATTCATTTCCCTTCTTTCTGTTTTTTTTTTTTGGAAATTTCTAGCCTATTTACTTTCAAACACTACAATTTTTTCTTTTAAGTGATCAGTAAATCCCACCTTTTCCAAAAAGAAAGAAAAATTACATGGATCTCCCCTGTACTTTAGGGGTGTGACACTTAACCCCTGTTCTGTTTTCTGTGACTTAACTATGCCTTGGTATAATATTGAACCCCCTAATGGTGGTAATAATGAGTTAAAATCAGACCATTTTATAATTTTTGAAGCAAAAATTGAGACTGAATAGGGGAGGAGTTGGTATTTGCAATGGGGATTTTAGTAGAGATTATTAGGATGGGATAAACAGAAATAACAAAGGGCTGGTGGTGGGAGCAATGGTAAAGGTTAGGCATATATAAAATGGAGATGAATGGATTGTTTGTGGTGGAGAAGGTAGAGATAAGAAAGGTGGTGGTAAGGGGGAGATGAAACAAGTTGTGGAGTGTGGGCAATGGTGGAGGTGTAGGATACGAAGGTTCAACAGTGTTCAGGCAATGGTGGTGGTTATTAAAACATTGGTAAATCATTTGGAGATGGTTGAGATTAATTGACTGATCCTAGCTGATCAATTCATATGGTGAGTCACTATGGTTTTTCACCTAAAAAAAAGACTTAAGTCACTAAGGTACATATATCAAATTTCTGTTTTGAGTAAATGTAGAAGAAACCTACAAATCACATCTTTTTTTTTTCTTTTTTAGTAAAAGATCAAGAATTATACAAGGGGAAACCCCACAAAAAGAGCTAATACAGTTCTCAAGTAGAGGAGTGCCTTATAGTGTGAATGACTCATATGTACAAATTATCAGTGTCCTATTACCTTTACTTGACATTGGTTGATCATGGCATGATACTTAGCTAGAATGTTTGGTGTGGTTGGAAATTTTATGTTTATATATGTCCAATTTATTCTAGTTTGAAATAATATTTAAGATCCTTGATTATTTAATCTTTGTATGAGTGCAGGCACTTGATATGATACGAGGTAAAAGCATACTTCTCTTAATGGATTCACATTTAGAGGGAAACTTTTCCACAGAAGAAGCAACAGAAGTCATTGGCCTTGCCTCTCGATGTTTGCAATATGAACCTAGGGAGCGGCCCAATACAAAGAACCTTGTTGCCACACTTTCTCCATTAAATACAAAACCCGATGTAATTTCCTATCTTTGCTTATGGTCTCTATTTTTGCATGCTTGAAAAATGCAATAAGAACCTTGAATAAAGTGTTGGGCCAGAGCTACTACATTCTTATTGTGCATCCATGCAAAAACAATTTATTTCTACTTCACTGAGATGCTTTTTGTTTTCATTTTTATGAGAATGTAAGAACAGCTTATCAGGATAATCTTGGTTCTGATCCGACCTCTGTGATTCTCTTCATACAGGTGCCATCTTATGAAATGATGGGAATACCAAAGCAGGAGGAGGCCCCCACTGCACCCCAACATCCTCTCTCTCCAATGGGAGAGGCCTGTTCACGCATGGACCTTACAGCAATCCATCAGATTTTAGTGATGGCACACTATAGAGATGATGAAGGAACCAATGAGGTAATTGATTTGTATGTATGGGTAGTCTGGATCTGGTCCCAACAACTGATCCCAATAATCATTGCAGTTGTACATCAGGAACATCTTGCCATGAAGGACAAGGAAGATGTTCCCAGTGCATGGCTGCAATGGCTGTTGGGGCAATCTTATGACTAGATCCTGACTCATGAATGGGGAGTCTGGGAGATGCCTTTTGGTGCTTTTCTTATGGTTCTTTTGATGTTTATTTTTGCAGTTGTCCTTCCAAGAATGGACACAACAAATGCGAGATATGCTGGAGGCCAGGAAACGTGGGGACTTTGCATTCCGTGATAAGGATTTTAAAACTGCCATTGATTGTTATTCTCAGGTGAGTGTTCTATTTCTGGTGTGGTGAAGGGAATTATTTCATGTCTGTAACAAGTTTTTGTTTTCATATAAACGAAATTGGATTAGCTGAACGCTTTAGTTGTTTAGCAGGCTGTGGTGGGGCCCATGCATTTTATGACTGGTGCGGAATGTTATCATTGGTTCCACAGCCTTCTGAACAGCTATTGCGTTTAGCAAATTCTATCTCCATATAAACATGTTCTTATGGAGAATTTTGAAATAGTGATTGTTTCATCAATCTTAAAAGCAAACGTGAGGTTAATCAGCTTACTACCAATCCATGAGTTGATGAAAATTATTTAAAAATGACAGAAGGGAAAAACATAACGTGAAAAAAAAAGTGACAACCCAAGAAAAGGAAAAGGTCACAACCTGTGAAGGAAGTGGAAAGAAGTATCACCAAATACTAAGACCCAGAAACCATCTGAGTTGGAAGGCGTTCCCCCCATAGGTTTTGGTTCTTGGTGTTTTCCTGATCAACTATAGGGCCTGAGGGATGGTGCCAATTCTCAATTGCCTAGTGCGGTTTCTAAAATCTTATTTGACGAGGGCTGCAATGGATTAAATCAGATATACCTAGTTCTTTTAATATTTGAATTCCAATTGAATCCATTCCATCTGATTTAAGTTTTGATTCAGATAGGTTTAGATTTTATATTATACATTAATTTTATGTAGATATAAGCATAACATTGGTTTGGGTTTGATTTGAATTTGGACAAAAAGATGTAATTTGCAGCTCTATATTTGACTACCTATTCTATCATTTTGTGAATCCAAAGATCCATCAGTGTTTGATCTATTGTTTTTCTTTTAGCTATTTAGTTTTTTTTTTTTTGTTTTTTTGCTTTTAGCTCCTATAACGTCTGATATTTCGGTCATCAGCCTGAGCAAAACATTTCCTTTATTTTCTTTGGTGTTTTAACGTCATTCCTTTTTCGCAGTTTATAGACGCGGGAACAATGATTTCTCCAACTGTTTATGCACGGCGGAGCCTATGCTATCTCCTTAGTGACCAACCAGATGCTGCTCTACGAGATGCAATGCAAGCACAATGTGTTTATCCAGATTGGCCCACGGCCTTCTACATGCAGGCAGTTGCCCTGGCGAAGCTTGACATGCACAAAGATGCAGCTGACATGTTAAACGAGGCTGCGGGACTAGAAAAGAGGCAAAGAAGATGAGAGGCAATGATCCATGAGAATGAGATTCGAGTTCGACCATATTCATATTTATGATAATGCATTCACCATGCAGTTGTTGATAGGAAGGAGCACACCGAGCATGTGTAATCAAATCAATCAATCCAGTTGGGAAGTTGGCTTCTCAACCCAAAAGAAAAAATGTGAGGGGAACCCAAGTTTTTTTCTTTATATATCAATGCATGTTCCTTTTTTCTTCACTCTATATTTTCCATTTTTTTCTCCATTCTAAGGAAATAATTTCTTTTTTCAAGATGTGTATGTGTCTTATTAAATAATATTATAATACAACAAGAATTTTAAGAGGTGATAGGTGGGTGGGTTAAGCAACGTATAACTCCGCCTTGCCGTCAATGAAGAGGCTCATGAACTCTTCCCCATCCACGGTCTCTTTCTCCATAAGAAGTTGAGCAAGCTTGTGGAGGATGTCAATATGGGTCGTAATGATCTGCGTGGCCCTTGCATATGCCCTCTCTACCAGTTCTCTCACTTCTGCATCCACTACATCTGCAGTGGCCATTGAATAATCCTTCTGGGATGACATCTGGAAACAAGACAAATACCGGACAGACCTTTTAATCATATGAAGATAGAGAATCATTAAACGATAAAAACCATGTTTCCTCCAGATTAATCATTTATGCCATTTCACAATTTAAAATCACTAACATCTTTAAAAAAAAGCTGGATTTCTCATCCTCGAGTCTGGTTCTTGAAATTAATCCGACACATTTCGGTATTCAAATAAAATTTTGATTCAGAAATCGAAATTTAGAGGTTTCCTAAGTTTGGAAATCAATTCCCATGTGTAAGGTCCATCACTTGTTTGCTTTGCTAATAATATGGTTGGATCCAAAAAAAATGGAAAAGGGAGATGTTCTGAGTCTTTCGACACAAAATACACTAAAATATTTTATTACAGTTAAAATAGAAACAAATTGACACCACATAGGAGAATCAATGTGAAATGCCTTCTACTGGGAAATGTTTTTTCTGGGTAAATTACAGACTACCACATGTACTTTGGGTAGTGATTACTTAACCTCCCAAAGTTTCATTTGTAACAAAGACCTCTTTCTGGTTTGGGCAAATTTGCCACCACCATTAGCATTCCAAAAGTCGACTTCAAAAGCATTCTCAAGTAACTTCCATGTGCATATTTAAATATTTCTAAAACCCTAAATTGACCTTGTATCATTTTATAAGACCATTTTGTGCAAAATTGATAAAATACAATAAAAAACAGAAAATAAGGCTCAGTTTGGAAAGAGTACAAATACAAATGTGTAAAGTGCAAATTGTATTTGTACTCTTTCCAGACTGAGCCTAAGGAAAAGCAGGAAATTGTAAACTAAAACAAAATACAAAAAATAAAGAAAACACTGAATTGCAAAAAAAAAAAAATGCAACAAAAAGGAAATTGAAAAAAATATTACAAAAATACAGAAAATTGCAGACAAAAAAAAGGAAAGTACTGATAGAAAAATACAATAGAATACAAAATTTGATCTTTACTGTCAAGTCCACTAACAGAGTGGGGGCAAAATGCCGAAATCTAAAAAGAGTGGGTCTTTGTCACAAACGAAAGTTCATGGGAACTAAGGCCCCATTTCATTTGCGGAAATAGGGGTTTGGAATCAGAATTGGAATAGGTTATTTTGATTCCAACTGTTTGGTTGGGTGTAATGGGAATCCCATTCCCATTCCTGCTGAATGGCATTTCACCATTTGAGGGAATGGCCATTCCCTGCCCTTCCCTTGGGAATGAAATCCTATTCCTGCTGATTCTAATTCCCATTCCCATTCCTGTCTGGGTCTTGAACCAAACAGACTACGGGAATGGAGCATTCCGGTTCCAATTCCAGAGGATTTAGATTCCAATTCCAACTGCGAACCAACCCTAAGTGTCACAACTCCCAAAGTAGATGGCAGTCTGTAATTTACCTTTTTTTTTTTTACATTATCCCTTGCATAACCTAGGTAAAAAGTGGTGTTGCCGTTTGAAGTTGAATGTGCTCAATCATATCATTTTTTGGACGTTAAAATAAAATCATTTATGTGGAGTCAAAACAGGAATGCAACACCATGGCTTAAGACACCACGACCATTTGAAGAAACAGAAATAAATCACACATTGAAATTGTGTGGGCGAAACGTTTTATGAAGTGGCACTTCATAAAATTAACAGGTGGCAAATGCCACCAAGCTAGATCAAAAAACTCTAATCCATAATCACCTCCCCCCCTCTAAAAAAAAGAAATAATAATAATAATAAATAAATATACAAAAAGAGGTAAAAACACTCTTTACCTGTTGACCTAAGAAGGGATTGCCACCAGGTCCACCAATGGCAACCTGTCCGATCCTTTTACTGAATCCAAACCGTTCAACCATCTGCCTAGCCACACGTGAAACCTGCATGAAGTCGTTGGAAGCTCCAGTTGTGACATTATCTTTCCCGAATATGACCTCTTCCGCAACCCTGCATCGGCAGTGTGTAGATTAGAAATAAATCATATTTTGTTTTCTGCCAATCATGATGTTCATTCCAAATCCCCTATAGAAACCCAGAGGTTTCTCGTCTCCACAGAACAGAGATGTCCTAAGGTTGAGGTTAGTAAGGAACCCAAATGGGAGCTCTTTTTTTTCGACGAGTAAATGGGAGCTCTTCATAACGTGTATTCTTTTTCTTTTTTGGCATCACGTGTATTCTATTGAGAAAGGGCAAACAATGCTACAATGAGGTCAGTTGCATCCCCCCTCTTTGCACTCAGAAGCAGGCCCTCTAACTAGGAAATGGAAATCCATGGTAGATATGAAGGTTCACTAGAAAGAAGAGAGTTAGTGAGAATGGTTGGAAAAAAAGAAAAGAAATGAGAGAGGGAAGTGTTTGGACTGGATAAAAAAAGGAAATAAGAGAAACTAGAAAGGGAGCAAAGGCCAGAGAACATGATTGATGAGGCTGCAATTTCTATTTTCATACCAGGGGGGAGGGGGCGGGGAAGGGGCGGTTTGGGTGGAATATGCATCCATAAATATTCAAATAAACAAAACCCATACATGTGCCCAAAAACAGTTAACTTATTTTATTGGGGACACTGTTGAGGTCACAATATCCTGGACACAGCAGATCCAGACTTGTGGACAATTTGAATTCCTCTCAAGTGCGCACAAGGCAAATTGGCTGAAAAGGTTAGAAACTCGCAATGCAATTTTTAAATCTGACTTGAAAGCAATGGATTATTTACCATATGGTTCATTGATTTGGTTCAGCAGTGGATTATTTAGTTAGGAATCATCTGAATGTCTGTTTATGAATTCTTTACCAAATGCAGATGATGATGATCTCTCCACAGGTTATTTATTTCACTAAGATTAACAAACCAACTCTTTGATTTAATGGAATGATAAGAAAGATGGGTCTACGACAAACCTTCCACCAAGTGCTACAGCCATTTGGTTCTCCAGGTAGCTTCTGCTGTATAACCCAGACTCAAGCCGCTCTTCACTTGGAGCAAAAAATGTAAGCCCACCAGCTTGCCCACGAGGGATGATAGAGATCTTAGCAACTGGATCATATTCTGGCATGAGTGCACCTACCAGAGCATGCCCAGCCTCTGCAAATAGCTCGAATTATGTTAAACAGTTGACATAAATTGCAGTACTCCGGAAGGTAGCACCTACAGCAGTGGGTAAAACATACCATGATAAGCAACTAATTTCTTTTTCTCATCTGACACTACTGCATTCTTCTTCTCAGGCCCAGCAATTATCCTCTCCAAAGCATCAGATATCTCGTCTTTGCTTATCTCCTTGAGGTCCCGCCTGGCTGCAAGAATGGCTGCTTCATTCATCAAGTTTTGCAAATCAGCACCTGTAAAACCAGGAGTTCTTCTTGCAATCTTTTCAAAATCCACATCCTTTGCAAGTGCCTTTCCTCTGGAGTGCACCTGTCACAGAGAGAACGGTGTTATTGAAAAAAAAAAAAGAAAAACTACAATATATTCTATTACTTTTTGAAAAAATTGCCTGATATTTTCCATTCGAAAACTGCATGTATATGCAGGAATAGACTTCGGATCAATGTCTAAAGAACAAATTATTGTCAAGATATTGTTGCTTCAAATGAATGTGTGCATAAAAAAAGTAAACAAAAACAAATAAATAAATAAATAAATTGAACTGAAATATAGCAATTGGTCAGACTAGAAGAGCTGATAATTTTCAGGTTATCAATTAATTGCCCATTAATCACTTGTCTACTCCGAATCTAGATTAATCACTGGTTAAACCAGAGATCCATTTGGCAAGGACGAACCATATAATTCTGTCCACAGGAGGTGCTAGTTCAAAAATGTTAGGCACCTCAAAGAAAGCTTGATAGAACTTGAGCAGATTTAACTGGACCCAGCAGAGCTAGGAACATTTCAGGAAGACAGAGGCAATTTTATATATATATTTGACAATTATGACAGAGGTTGAGTTGTATCTTCTGACTCTTCAGATCCATTAAGTTACATTTGCAGTTTGTGCCCATTGTTATTATTACATAAAGCCTCTTACTGCATAGCTGGTATCCTCTCAGAATTAACATAGTTTCCCCTTCCATTGCCCCGCATTTGATCCTTGCATCAGGATAACTACATCCAGAATGTTCTCCAATGGCATTTATTATTTTTAATCTCTATCTTGGTCAGTACACAAGTTGCAGGAGATGCAAATCATCACTGAAGACCATACTATTGGATAAGCAAGTGCTTGACTACTTAATCATGTTTAAGTCAATTAGATATATCAAAACAATTTGTTGCAAAATGAATTTTCTTAAGACTTCTTTTCCGTGAAAAAAGAACAAATGGCCTGATTTTACTTCTTTCTACTCACACTAAAGATTTGTTGCTGACAAACCGAAGGTTTTTATTATTTGAGTTGAAAGAAAAAAAAATAGTTATTAACTGAAAGGAAACTACATCATAAACGATTTTAAGATAACAAGAAATGATATTTTCAAGCAGAGTTTTATTCTCTAAATTTGAAACTTTCCAATAGTTTTGTTCAATCAATTTACTTAACTTCAGTTCCCTTTAATTTCCTTTCCAGAGCTCCTAGGTTAGTATTGATTAATGATTTCACAAATTTCTAATAAGAAGAAAGGTTTGAAGAGCATGGAAAAAGCGTTTGATCAGACTTCAGATTAATTGAGCTAACCTGAAGTATCTTGACTCTACCGGCCACATCAGGCCTGTCGACTGTGACCTGCCGATCGAACCTACCAGGCCTTAGCAATGCGGCATCAAGGACGTCCGGCCTGTTGGTGGCAGCCAGGACGATCACACCACTGTTGCCAGAGAACCCATCCATCTCCGTCAGAAGCTGGTTGATTGTCTGCTCCCTCTCATCGTTTCCACCTCCGAGCCCAGCCCCACGCTGCCTACCCACGGCATCAATTTCATCAATAAATACAATGCAGGGGGCCTTGGACTTTGCCTTTTCGAACAAGTCCCGAACCCTCGATGCTCCAACTCCTACGAACAACTCCACAAACTCCGACGCAGCACACGAGAAAAACGGCACTCCAGCTTCTCCAGCAACGGCACGGGCCAAAAGGGTCTTTCCAGTTCCAGGAGGTCCGACCAAGAGACAACCTTTAGGGATTTTCGCTCCAAGTGCAGTATACTTGTCCGGGTTCTTTAAGAAATCAACAACCTCCTGCAATTCCAATTTCGCCTGGTCGGCACCGGCGACATCAGCAAAAGTCACCCCAGTCTCCGGGACCTCCTGGAATTTGGATTTCGACCTACCGAAGTCCATCGGACCACCGAGACCGCCTGGGCCACCTGGGCCTCCCTGTGCTCGTCGGAAGAGGAAGAACAATCCAGCGAAGGCGAGGAACGGGAAAAGAAGATTCCCGATGAAATTGAAAAGGCCGTTGCCGGAGTCACCCTCCGAGACGGAAATGTCGACGCCGTTCATCGCGAGGATGTCGATCAGATCTGGGTCGTTAGGGACGGTAACGGTGGCTCGACGGCCATCGACAGCGGTGAGCTGGAGGGCACTCCCGTCTTTGCTGAAGCGAACACGTTCGACCTTTCCTTTCTTGACTGCATTGAGGAATTCGCTGTATCGCCATTGACTACCTTCAGGGAGATCAGATGTCGACTGGGCTTGTGGTTTTGGGGCAGTAAGGAGAAGATTTTGGGAGAAAGGAGAGGATGCAGAGGGGTTGGCCTTGGTGGCTTCGGCTTCAATTGCAGGTGGGGGAGATGGGGTGTTGATGTTGTTATCTATGGCCAGGGCCGCGGGAGGGTTTTGTGCAATGGAGGAGAAAATTAGGGCAGCCAAAGTGGCCTGAGATGGGATGTTTCTGAGGGTGTTTGAATTTGAAATGGGGTTTCTTTTCAGAGTGGATTTAGTGATGAGGAATTTCCTTTTAGTGATAAGAGAAAGAGGGAAAGAGGGTTTGGTAGTTTTGGGGGTGGGGGGAGAGAGGTGGAGTTGAGTACCAAGGAAAGTTGAGGAGAGGAGGGGATTGGATATGGAAGCCATTGCTCGCTCGCTTTGGCTGTTTCCAAGTTTACTTGGTAATAGGCTAATAGTAATAGACCTTCTCTCTCCGTAGGAATTATCGAGTTTTTTCAGTGAAGTCGAATTCGAGCTCCCTGAGCGAGGCGAGGGAGTACTGTGCTGGCCTGGGTCTTGTTCTGTGTTGAAATTGGAGATAAAGAGCGGACGGAGGGGCGTCAAGAATTCACAGTAAAGGTTCTGCTAGAATCGATTAGTACTGTAGGCTCGGATTGATGAATGATGATAGATTTCCGGATGGAGATGGTGTACGTGGATGCAATTCTGATTTTCTTGTTAATAGAAAATGCAATTTAATGGGTGCCTTGGATTTTGATTGTTGTTCGGACTGCATCTACGTGGTGTAAACAGGTACCAGTCGTTTTTATTCTTGGCTTCTTGTTATTTCTTATTTGATCAAAGATACGGCCACGTAGTCGTAACACGAGGGCGTCGTGGATATTTTTCATACTTAAAAAAAAAAATGTCTTTTTTTTTTCTTTTATAGATATCCTTGCTCTTTGGTGATGAGACGCTCAAATAAAGAGGTGTTCATTGTTTGCTTCAAAAAGCAAAATCAAATCGAATCAAATTAAATTTACAGTTTGGTTCGGTCTGCACCTTCGGTTTTATATTTTGTTAATTTGTGGTTTATGGTTTTGGTTTGAGTTTTTGAATTTTATAAATCGAATCAAACCGTAAATCAAAATTATATATGATATAAAATATAATATATAAATGTTATATACAGTATAATATATCTTAAAATTATAAATATATAATAAATTCTTTAATTTTATAATAAAATAATAAAATAAAAGTTTTGATTTTTATAGGTTGATAGAATCAAAGAATGGTCCATAGTTCTCCAACCGTATTAAAAACCATACCAAACTATAACAAAATGGTTTGGTCTGACTTGGTTTCTATACCAAAACGGTTTGATTTGGTTTGGAAATTTTTTAAACCATAATTTATTAATTTGGTTTAAGATTTTCTCTAAACCGAACCATAAACACCCCTACTTGAATCTCGTATAAAGGGTGTTTCACTAGCGCAACACTGCACCTATTCCCCTCCTCTCAAAGAGTATGGGTCTGCTCCTTACAAATCCCTCCAGACACCCACGTCACAAAGCCTCACATTGGGAACATCTCCCGTATTTATTTGTTATTATTCATGGGAGATGTTTCCAATACAGGGATGTGGCTGTGAAATCGGTGTGAGGAGTTGATCCCAATTCAAATTTAGTGGTCTCCATCTCTCTGGAAAGAACAGATCAACTGAGCATAGGGCATCCCACAAGTGCCCCACATGCACATTTTTCACCATACACAAGTGGGAGGTGTTGCGGCTAGTGGTGCAATTTGGACAGGTTCAACCTAAAATATTTTATACTGACGGTCTAGGCTGTCCAATGTGGACTGCTAAAGTTTTCTCTTTTATTGTATCCTTTCTTTGCCACGTATGCACCTAGTTTCATGTGGGGCTGTGCAAGGGGCCTTCATCATAACAGCAATTAGGTGCCCAAAAGTGGTACATGTAAAGAATTAAGCTAACGAAGATCATGTCTCATTATCATATTATCATATAAAGTGATGACAAGATTCTCGTTGAAGTGTTCAAGGTGCTATATATGAACACTCCCAGGGTGGCTCATTACAATATTTAAAGGATCAAAAGAATTGGGTAGAGGTTAAAGCCCCTTTTTGAGAACATTTATAAGAAGTATTTCTTTTAAGAGCCCGGACCATACATTAAGTGGTTATTAAGTGATTTTGTGTGTTTGGTAAAAAAGTGGGAAAGTACTTCTTTAAAAAAGTGAGTTCAAGTTGTTTTTTTTTTCAATACTTCTTGAAGAAGTACTTCTCCAAAAAAATGAGACAAACCGATCCCTAATAATTTTTTGTAATACCTAAAATACCCCCACACGAGGGTTATACTTCCTTCTCCATTCACTCGAACATCTCTACTACCAGGTAGTGGCGCACCAGTTGCAGACCCACCGACGACCATCAGCGATGAGGAAAAGTGGCAGGCAGACTTATTGTTTGACCACTTTCTTCTATTTTTCTGAAGTTATTTTTCTCATTTAATCATTTTTTTGGCTTTTTTTTCTAACTTGAACTCTCTGTTCTTCATAGATCTACTTGAACTGTCTGTTTTTTCACAGATCTACACTTGAAGTTATTTTTTGCTTTTTTTTTTTAACTTGAAACTCCATAGAGATCGAACTTTGTTTTTTCTTCCTGGGTTAGTTCGCAAATCTGGGATCGAATACACTACCACAGAGGTAAAACTCTGGGATCGAAACCCAGATTTGGTTGCTGGTATGCAGCCTTGCCACTCACCGTTCCTGTTTTTTCTTCCTTAGTCTTTAGCCTTGCCACAGAGATTGAACTCTAGGATCGCAAATCTGTTTTTTTCTTCCTTAGTCATCGTTCCTATTAAACGCTGCCACTCACCACTGTTGCTGGTCTGAACCCGCCGCTGCAACGACGATGATGAACAGGGAAAGGGAAAGAGTGAAGACTAAGGAGAAGAAGAAGAAAAAAAAGAAGAAAGAGAGATGGCGTGGGAGAAAAAAGAGAGATGAGAGATTGGAGGTGGAGATCAGAATGGATTCACCGCCGCCGTTGGTTCTGTGTCGTGAGGAAGATGATGAACAATGGATTTCGGGGTGGGTGGTTCTGAAGCAGAAAAGGAAGAAGAAGTATGAGATGGAGAGGGAGGTCGGAGTATTTATTATTTATTAGGATTATTTATAATTATTATTTATTACTGATGAAGGGTGATTTGGCCTGACCTCGCAGCACGGGTACACGTGGGCGTGACCTTGCTCAAACAATGACTCAGCATGACAACGCAACGAGCGTGAGCACAGCTCAGAGGGAAAGTCCCATTGAGTCCAGCTCGGCAACTTGGCAGGTAAACTACTCGCCGGAAGCCGCCTTACCCTTACCTCCTCCCCGGGGTTAAGGCACTTCGGGGCGTCCCGAGTTCGGGGCGCCCTGACCTCTCTTAAGGCCCGAGCTCCTCCCAATGGACCTCGGGCCACTCCCAGGCAAGAACACACCGATCCATCTCTGGACACCCCGAGGCATAGACACCTTGGGTCAGCTAGCTCGGCATAACTGGCTATAGGCAGCCCATCACTTAAAGGATAGCCCGGCTCAGGGTAATTCGCGGGAGACTAGTTCGATATACCCGACAAATCTATGGACAGTAGACATGTCCCTCGTCAGATAGCACCGCGTCTACCACCTTTAGAAAGGTGTCCCGCACCTGATAGGCACGTACCCTGCAACGACGGCCCCGCGCGTGCCACCTCAGAAGTCAGAGGGCCTGAAGCAACGGAATTCAGTTATAAGGGGCTTATTCTCAAGGAACAAGGTATCTTCGAATCACCTGCGCAATCTGCACTCTTAGCCTTCATTTTCCTTTTGCTTCTTGCACACAATACTGACTTAAGCATTGGAGCGTTCCTGCCGGGAAACCCCCCGGGAGTTCTTCCTCTTTCCTCTCATTTCAGGTACCTCTCAGGAGCGACGCGAGTGCCAGCTAGGAGTGACCGGATTGCGCTACATCAATTGGCGTCGTCTGTGGGAAACGCTTCAAAAGGCCTTTCTCTCTAAACTTTCTCAGTTTTTTTTTTCTTCCTTGAAACAATCCAACGCTCATGGCTTCCTCTAGCAACGTCGGATGAAGCACGGAAATTGATAACTCCAGGGAACAACCCCAACTTCCTTCTGTCTGTATCGGACAGTTCACCGTCCCCCTCTCAGCGGACGGAATCCCTAGCTTGAATGTGCCTCTCACAATGGCACCTGCCATCGCCCCACTCCCTGCTACAGTCGGAGAGACGTTCACCGAACCTTCGGTCGTGCCCCCAGCGGCCAGCCCAAACCAACTGGAGGACTTGATGCAGTGCATGCGGGCCATGCAGGCCCAAATGCAACAGTTCCAGCAACTTCAGCTCTATCAACAACACGTACTGCACCAGGTCTCCCAGTATCAATATCAGTAGCGGTTCCCCCAGCTGCCTCAACCTCAACTTCAGTAGCCGCAGTTCCCACCTCGGCACCCAGCCTCGCAGCAAGCTAAGTCTCGCCGCCAGGATGAGCGCCCCTCTGGCCAAGGCGAGGCCCCCCAAAACCTCCCAAAAAACCAGGCCTCCCCCCGCAGCAAATGAGAGAGATCGGCTACCCCGATCTCATCGCGGGCGGACAGGTCGGGAGGACCCCAGCTCGCCAGATCTACATCACCTCGGCAGTCGAAGTTTGAAACCCTGCTCCTTGAGAACCGGTTCGAGGTCCTGGCAACAGACTCCAAGCAGGATCCCTCTGTCCGCAGCCATCACCAGCAGACCGGGCTACTTCCTGCACAAACCATTCCGGACAGCGCAGAGGTGAGCAGCACGAACGTCGAGCACACCAAGAAGCAGAGACGCCGCCGCCGAGCTCACCAATCTGTTACCCGCGATTTGCTCGAGCTCATGGGCAAAGAAGAGGTAAGCTCAGCCGAAGTCAAAGCTCCCCTCCTCTCGGTTCCATCCCCCCTATCTTCTGAACTCCTGGCAGTCCCAATGCCCAAAGACTTCAAGCTCCCCCCTCTTGACATGTATGACGGGTCGTTTGACCCAAATGATCACGTAGATGCCTTTCAGTCACAGATGCACCTGGCGAGAGCCAGTGATTCGTGCATGTGCATGGCCTTCTCCACTACTTTTAGGGGAGCAGCCCGTACGTGGTACTAGAACTTGGCACCTGGGTCGATAAGAAGTTGGGCGCAGTTCGCACAAGCCTTCACGTCCCACTTCGTCACAAGCAAACGGTGCCCGCAAACTGAAGAAAGACTCCTCAACATAGTGCAAAGAGAGGGAGAGTCCATCCGGGGCTATATCAAGCGGTTCAACGATTCTTGTATGCAGATACCGTGCCTAAACCCCGCCGTACGCCTTGCAGTAGCCAAGAAAGGCGTGACACAGAAAGAGTTCAAATGGCACATGGTCGTCAATCAACCAGCGACCATAACCGAGTTTCTAAAGCTCGCGGACAGGTTCATAGCCACCGAAGAGGAGATCAACCAAAAGGGCGAGGGCGCACCCAAAAAAAGAAAGAGGGAATGAGAGCTTTCCAGTCAAGGGGACAGCTGAAAGAAAAAGGATACAGTTCAGGGGGCAAAGTCGGGTCAATTATTCCGAGCTCCTGTAGCGGACCGAGCTGACTACACCCCACTGAACGCGAAGCGGGCCGAAATCCTGATGGCGATCAAGGACGCCCTGTACATGAAGTGACCACCCTGTCTGAGGGGGAATCCTAATGAAAGAAATAAGAATATGTATTGCAATTTC